TGCGAATGTTCATTCTTCCTCCAGCTTGTACTGATTATCTCAGTAGAAGGGCAATGTTGATAAAGGGAGACACAATAAAATAAACTCTGTTATGCAGATTCTCCCTTGTGTGTTACCACCCTAACATAGCACATACCATATTAATTCTGCTTCATCAACTCTAGGTGAACAGGTTTCTTCGAAAATGTACCAAACCAGCTCCAACAAAAGGAACAAAATTGTCTATGTAGATAATCATATATTAAGCAATAATCTATCATACACTACATTTTTCAAAGGTAATGTACCTTTTTCCACAATTCAAGATGTAGTATTTATAGCTTGTTTTTCAGACTGATCAAACTACTGCCACAGCCCTATCTTCATTCACTCAGTGTGAAACAATTAAGTTCCAGAGGAGACTACACATACACAAAGGGAGAGAGGGAAAGAAGAAGGAAGGAAGGAGATGAAAGGGAGAAAGGGGGAACGGAGAGAGAGAATGCCAGAGAGGACACATGCATGTGAAAAAAGGAGACTGACCCACAGAACTGCAGCTTCCTAAAGCGATATCAGTTCTTTTGCAAATATCAGGTGTTTTTTAAATTTTAACACAGAATTTCTTAAAAGTGGTTTGGATGTTTCTTTTAAAACTATGTTGAGACTGCAAAAGAACACTATTGTGGGAAGTGTCTGCATTGCTTAAAAATCTGAATTTACTAGTTAAAATTGACCTACTTCAGAAGTGACTTAAGCACTTAAGAATAAAGCACCTCATAGTCTTCTTTTTTAAACAATAACTGATGAAAGAAATCATAATACAGATTTTACTTTCCTAAAAAAAATTCATTTTGAAAGTATTTTTTTAATTAGACCTTGCTGATAAAGAATTTAGGCAATTCATATGATTATTTAATACAGTACTTGAAAGCAAAAATACACAGCATTGAAGAATGTCAGATTAATTCATTATACACGCTGTTTTTAAATTATTTCATAACCTGTGCCACAGTAATGAATGAGATTAGTGAGATCAGAGATTAAATGAATTTAAAGCAGCTCAGATGAATTTCAACTATATGATAAGGAATACATGAATAATGAACACTTGCTATTCCTAACAGTTTTCAAAGTTCCCTACTTTGATGGATAGTCCATATTCCACGCACCTAATATTTACTATAAAGACTCAGAAATCTTTAGACTGGGAAAACAATTCACAGCATGTACATTGTGTGGGAATCCACACTGCCAAAGACCCCCATTTATATCTGTGTGTGCAGCCGGAAGAAGCTACACAAATACGCAGAACACTTCGGCAATGAACATGCTTTAAGATTTTGTACTCACACAAGCTCTATACGTCTTCTCCTTTGCACATTATCTACTTTCTCGCAGGACTGCTAGATAAATACTACAAGATGCCAGACAGCTGAACATAGATTTTTGGATGTTTCACACTCTGAGGTGAAGGTCTTTTGTTGTGCAAGACAGTGGTTGCACTTCTTGGGACAGTAGGCAAAATGAGTAGAGATTTTAAGGGAGGTTCTTGGTGATTCCCCAAACCTCACTGCTTTTACAGTCCCTGAAAACTTGATTAAAATGCTTAAAAAGCCTGTGAAGCATTCCAAGCAGTAGCACAACTGATCTGAAAAAACGAGGTATTTGTAGTATTAATAGTTCAGTTTCTCATCCTTTTGCAGAATGAACTCCAAGGCCTCAGGGAAAAGTTGGGCCTGTTGTCATGACATTGAGAAATGCAGTTCATTAAGATCTTAAGCAACAAACAACAGCAACAATTAGCTGCTATACTCATTCTTGATTTATCGCTAAGAAACACAGACTTTACAAATGGAAAGGGCCTAAAGGGTCAGCTAGCACATCCTCTTGCCAATTCATGATTGTCCCTGATGCTTTTTCAGTGCTTTGCCAGTCTATGTTTCTAAGAAGCTTCAGAATTATGGGGTTTAGTACTTCCCTTGTGAGGATATTCAAATTCAGAATACTCAATTTCATTTTAACTTTTCATACTCTGTTGGCTAAGTAAGTGTATTTCAACTCTGATCCCTTTCCTCTGAGGTCTACCTCTTCATTCCCTGAGAAACAGTTCTTCTCCCTTTCATATGTTTGCATATTTCATAGCATTTATGTTACCATGTCTTCACAGTTAGACATTAATTACCCCCCACACACATAATTTTTCTTCCTGTATCTAACTCCTTAAACACATTTGCTGCTCTTCTTATGGCTCCCTCCACTTTGGGTATATACTTCCACTAGCTAGTTCCCAGCAAAGAACGCACTAAGAATTTGTTTTATCCAGCATGAATACATAATAAAATCAGAACAATGAAAAAAAAAAAAAAAGAACTTGTGCTCTCCAAGAACATAAGAGCTCTGAAACGAATGACTAATCGGACTGTTTGAGGTGGAATTTAGATGCCATGAGATACTCTAGTTGTTATAATGCTAAGGATATAGCTTCAGTCTCACTACTCACTTGAAGATCCTGCTGATCTTCAAGTTTCCCTGTTCAACTGAACATAAAACAGCAATGAATTGACATATATTGCTTAGACTACTGAAGTGTACTTCAGTAGACGTATTTCAGTAGTGGTTTTGCATTAATATATAATAATTTAATTTGATGATGCAATACATTGAATGCTGGTATTAAATACATTAAAAAATCTCCTCTCATTTCTATCTTTTTTAAACTTTTTTCTTTAGATAGCTTATGAACTTTTTCTATTTGCTTTAGCATCCCTAAAGACTCATCTTTGAATCTGCTTTTGTTTATCTATTTTTATCTTAAGCTGAATCAACTCATAATAAATCAATTCAAGGTTAATTTCTAAACCCACCTTCCCTGTATCTTCATTAATTAACAAAACTGTATTTTAAACAGCATCTTTAATCCCTAAAGTATCCCTGAACAGACAGGTCAGGGATTATCTGGAGAAAACATTTATTGGCTAACATACCTCATCTGTGCCTCCCATATTAGATTTTCTGTAATGACTTAGCTCCAAGTAGTATTTCTCTTTCTAATGGCATAACAGAAATATATATATATATATATATAAATCTGAGTCTGGGTCTCTACAGCAGACTCTCAAATGTATTCTAGAATACATTATTTTACAATCTTTCCCCCAGTGCAACTCTAACCCTTAATTGTTACTATTTTATCCAAGTTATCCTCAACTCCCTTTTATACTTCCAGTGACATTAAAGTACATAGCTAACCCACATTTTCACTTTTTACCTTCCTTTTTTGAAAGTATCTAGTTCTGAACATCTTTTTAATACTTATTTTATTTTAATAACTTGACTTTTTAAAATACAAATACATTTTGTAATATAACTCATCCCTCCATAATTCCCACATCCTTGCAATAGCTGGGAGCAGCAGTTTAAATTACCCCACTTGGTTCACAAGACTCCTGGTATTTTCACACAAATATTTCAGCTCATTTTTTACTGAATGCATTTGGTTGCTAGTTTAGGAACAATCCTTTCAGTAATTATATACCCTATTTGAATACCACCCCTCTGTCTGTCCACAGATATTCCTTTATCTTTTGCAATGCCTTCATGTATTTAACGGCCCTCCTCCTGTGTACTAAAGCCAGATGAGAAGATTACAGTCACTTCCAACTGTCTTCCCCTATTCCTCAGTTTAAGGCTCTTATCTCTTGTTTCAGCCCCACTCTTAGGAAGCCATTTTCCCAGATATTTTGGTGGAATTCCAGGAAAACCAGATTTCATTGAAAGGGAAAAATCAAAATGTCAGCACTCTGAATTTGAATAAATGGCTGCTTTTCATATATAGTAGATATTAATTCAAATTCCTTCCATGTTCTGAAATTTCCTTTGTTTTTCTTACAAAGGTAACAGTGATAGTACTTAAAATACTACTGATTTCCAGAGGAGCACAAATAAACATAAAATGCATTTTAAGAGCTTTAGGTTAATTTATTTTCTTTAAAAAGCATTTTCTCCCATATGTTAAGATGGCTATACAATTTAAAATTTGTTATTCTGATTAGTAACTGAATAACAACATAGTTTGTCCATTGTCCTCAGAAGTACACTTCTGAGACTGCTGGAATATTTATGCAAACAGAAGCCCTGGAATAAAAACAAAACAACAAATATACATCTTTTGTCAAGTGAAAAATATAATGGTAATGTGACCTTGACTTTTGCATTTCCTAGTATGAGTGGCAGTATCAAAACAGAAGAAAGACATATTTACTTTAAAATTAAGTTAAAAAAAAGAATAATTAATGATATACTGCAACCTTTGCCTACTTCATTACTAGAAAATGAGAATCATGAAAGGACCATATTATTCAAAATATTATTAGATTTTGGTTTCTTTCTGATAAGGTCCTATGTATATGAACAATAACCCTTTGTATTTAACAATAGGTAAGGAATAACAACAGTAAAATCACCCTGCTCTCCGGCTGTTTCTGTATATCGTGTAGAAGTTGTTTTAATCTAATGCGTATTGTTGCATAATATCCCCAGGCACATTCAAGTAAAAGCTAAAGCTGTACAGAAAAGCCAACATTTTTAATGGGTCTTGTCATTAATGCTTTATTAATTGCCCCAGGCAATGCAAACCCAGAGCTAGGCAAGCTATAACAATATGACACTTTAAGGTCAAATCCAATTCCTGCTGTGTTTTATGGAGTGGGCCAAATATTGAGTTAACAGCAGGAAAGAACAATTTATTGGGCTTTTCTCCATCTCCTGATTATCTGATCTAAATTAGATCAGTTAGGGTTTTTTTCTCTAAAAACAAAACACCTTTTGTCCACTCAACTTCAAAGAATCTTTGATGGTTTCTGTTAGAACAATAATCTTTAGTAACATCTACCTTTTATTTAAACTATATCTAGAGTACTAAATATAAAGATATGAAATATAAGCTTCTCTTTGTCCCTACATAAAACAAAATACCATAAATGAAGATGCACATTTATTGATTTCTTTAATGTATATATTACCTTCACATCTGAAGTATCTCTTTGGCTGTTCCTCCAAGACCTGGCTACTGAAGAGAAGGTTCGATCTGGGTGGTCAAACTTGCCATCATTTGCATTTAGAAAGAATGTTGTGAAGGGCTCCTGTAGTCAGTGAAATGAAGACAGATTAAGAAAACAGCAAAAGGAATCATACAACAGGTTTCTAAAAAAACCTAATTTACTGTTGCAGACCAAGATGCTTCATAAAGGCAGAATTAAAGAAAAATATGCTACCTCATAGTTGTACCTATGCATAGGTATTTGTACTGAATATCTTGGTACATTTATTGGCAATAACACATTTTACACACAGAGAGATCTCGAATTCTGGCAGGAAAGGTTATTTCATATATTCAGTCTTCCATAAGACTAACTGTTCATCAGTGGCAGATCTATGTAGCTTAATTCTGGTTCACAATGGCTGCCTACTTCACTGCAACCATCATAAAAATCCCCTGTGTTATTTATATTACCATGCTTTGCCTACCTCTTGTAAGATGGCATGCCAAAATAAAATCTTAAAAAAATCCCCTGACTGGATTTTCCTTTTGTTTTCATTTAACTTAAAAGAGCTCAGTAGGTTCCACTTTGCCTCACGGTGGGCAGAATGGCTCTGTGGTCATTGTGAGGTAGGCTATGGTTACAGAATATCTAGCTTTATCACTATTTTGGGGCAGAGATACAGAGCTGAAATATTTAGCGTTTTTACTTTTGTTAATTCTATCTGAAACTGCACTCCTAATACTTATTAAATGGACATAGCTGTTAATTTTGTGTAGGAAGAGCTCAAGCCTTAGACAGTCTGGAGAACCCATTTTTATGTCACAGTACTTCACTGCAAGGAAGGGATTGACTGGGGACAAAATCCTTAATTTGACAGCAAAACCTGAATACTGACATCACTGCCAACTCCCTGGTTTTCCAGCACCTCTCCATTAGATCTCTGATTCAACTAATATTTGACAATATGCCTACATGGATGGAAGCTATGTCTTCCTCTTTGCCAAAGTCTGATGGTAAATGGTCGAAAAAGCGTCCCTTCCATTAAATACACATATAAATTTATTTCCTTGCATGTCCTGATCATTTGGAAATTTTGTTAACCAAAGCAATTCATAATCATCAGATCATAATTCTTATTACAGTATTACCCATCTACTTTTTGCATTTTATTCTATATATCTTCTATCTCCTTTTCTGAAACTTTTGAACAAAGCAGGGAACTCCTCTATTAATAGGAATTATGTCACACTATACACATTGTGTTTAAATTACCCAAGATTAAAGAAGATTCAAGCAATTCATTTTCTGTAGCATTTAAAAGCAATTAAAATATACATAAGGAAAACATGGATGCAAAGGTAGTGAAAGAATCCTAAAAGGAAAATAACAGAGGGAATTCAGACTTGCAGAGTCCATTCTTTCTCTAATCTTTACTCTGCATGTCTTCCCAATTAATTATTTCTATTATACACAACAGTCAACATAGGCTACTTTTTTTCAAAGACAAGAAAAACTCTGAATTTCTCTCTCTAAATGAGAAGGAATGGAATTTCTCTCTTATTGTCATCATAGTATGCCAGTACCTTTGAAGTAGCTTAAGGGAATTGTTTGTGTCTGAATATTTTTTTTTTTTTTTTTTTTTTTTTTAGCCAGGGACAGTATTTTAACTTTCAGTGTCTGTCAGTGCAAATATGGAATAGCTTTCATTATAATAATGCAAAACATTCTACTGCTAACAGAATGGTGGGAGGGGGGTGTCCGTATTTTTTTTTTTTCTCTTAATACATTGGGGATTTATTTTAAAAAGATACATTCAAAATAATAGGTAACAATTTAAGACATATACTTTCATCAGTGCATTTATTTCCATCAAATAATCTTAATATGTGTTAAATAATTAATTTTAAAAACCTAAATGAAATACAAAATCATCACAATATCATTTCATATTGGAAGACCCTAAACCCCATTGTACAATGACTATATTTGCACTTGTGACTATTGAAAGAGTGCGTGGCAAGTGAGGAAGAGGTTTATAATTTGAACAGAATACTAACATTTAACAGGAGCTGAACTTGATGAGCAGCATAAAAGTATCACAATGAATTGAAATACTGAAAGAAAAGAAATTAAGTTTTTATGTGTCTAGATTTTACAGTGATCCATATAGTGAACTTCATGTAAAATATAAATGAAAAAATGTATGATTTGGACCCAGAGCTAGCAAATGGAAAATAAAATACACAGGAATTGGATTATAATAATTGATCTTCAAATCCTATTAATATTATCATTTTAATATTGAATTTACACAAATTCTTTTAATATTAGAATTATTTTGGGTTTGACTGAATTCTTTCCCCCAGATCCCTGTATATATTTGCAATAGCAATCTTTGCAAATTATGCTACTTTTCTAGCTTCCCATACTGAAAAACTTTATATGTTGTTGATCTGAGCACAAATAAATCTGTCTTCTACCAACCCCTATCTATCACTTTTTTCTTTGTAAGATATGTGTAATTTGTTGTATCATTGTGAAGCAGACTGTGGGTCACTGCTGAGGTTCTGAAATCAGAAGCAGCTGAGGGATTTAAAGAAAAAAAGCAGAAACCAGAAAAATGATGTAATTACAATAAATTATGTTAAAATATTAATCCAAAATTCTATGACAACATTATTTTATAAGCATCTGAGACAAATATACAAAAGCAAAAAAATTCATAATCAAGGATTAAACTTTTAATAGCTGAGCACTACAGGGTGCCCTATTATGCTATCCTGCTACGACCTGTTGTGCCTATCTTCGATTTTTAATCCTTAGAAGAAATTCAGAGCTTTCACTTTCTTTATCTCAGACCTCTCACATAATTTTAAGGTAATTTTTATTCTCTGGAAAGTCAAGTGCTTATGCTATATAAATACAATTCATATCTGTATTCAATATACTCATTTAAATACTGTTACTCTATGATACCGATTACTGTCATTTCATGTAAAGGTTTTGTTGCTGTGAAAGCTATAAAGCTGCACAATGTTTTCATTATAACCCCATCTCGCTCATTCCTAATATTCTGAATAAAATTTACGCCTTGTTCACTGCCAACAAGAAGATAAATTTGTGGGGTACTTGATTACGATGAATACAAGCTTGAGCTGTGGGAACAAGGAATTTTTCCATTCAACAGCACTTCTCTCCCTCCACCTCCTTTTAACAGTGCCTACTACCATTTAAAACATTTATGGTGGAAGTAGGGGATGGAGAAGGAAGGGATGTGTCATTCTAAGACATCTTATGTCAAACAAAAGTGTCTTTTCAGTCATTTGTAAGAGGTCAAAAAGAGAGTATTTGGGGTTTCAAGTCCTCCCCACTTTTGCATCTCACTAAAAACTTGTTTCAGCTCAAAACAGACCTGACTCATAATAAATCCAGAATTTCTTCTACCTTGTACAAGTACTTAGTCATTGTAACATTAACTGGAAACCAATTCTCTACAACTTCTTAACTACCACCTTAGATAATCATGCTTTCTAATACTGGTCTCTCTTTCAGTGAAGATGTAACTGACTCACAGAAACACAACCTCTTCAACACAACTACTGAGAGCATCCAATTGCACCATAACTCCAGTCTATTTCACCCCAAAATCTGAAAAAAATGCTGATATTCGCATTCTACATTATACAAGCCAGAATTCATACAACTGTCTATTTTTGTTGTTGTTTTGTTTGTTTCTTCTGTCTACTTTTCAAGTTGATATTCAAGTCACTGGAGTATGTGGCATTCTGATGTAGCATTCTGCAATTTATATACTCAGTGGTCCAGATGGAAAGCATCTGAAAACAATGACTCTTGAACCAAGTGGTAAGGTCACCTAGCCATAAACTATGAATATTTCATTTCATTTATACAAAAATGGAACTATGTCAACAGAACAGTGCATCCCTTCCCAGAGCATTTTTTATTCTGTTTGCTGAAGCAAACTTGTGGGTGATGTTGGCTCCTAGGAAATAAGCAGAATTTCTTGGGTTTATATCTAAAGATGTGTGATGTGCAAAAGTGTTTAACCATGGTTTGGTGTCTGTAACACCTCAAAGGAGTGGGAGGCAATATTATATAAATCACAGTGTTCTCTGATTGCTTTTAGCATCATTGTTAATCTGAATAATTGTTAACTGAACAATACAGTAGACTTTGACATTCATTAGCTTCCTCTGTAAAGTAGCGATCTAATATTTAATCTACCCCTCAATTTAGGAAGAAAGCTGATCACTTTCAAGAAACTGTTGATTTTGGATATAAACCCAACATTTCTGGAGATCATGTGGGATTCATTTGTAATTATAGCATTAAATATTTCTAGGCTGTGGCTCGGTTCTTTTCTTATGTAGCTAAATAAAGGATTATCTCTTGACCTTTCAGAATTCTAGCATGATGTAGTCATCTGAAATGTACAACTGATTAGTTTAAATAAACATGTATAGGTAAATTAATACATGTACAGGTAAATATAATTTCAATTCACATAGGAGTGTGTGCACGCACACATATATTTGTGTTTGTGTAGAGGGGTTGTACAGAAGGAGGGTGCACTCATTATCTTGCTTTGGGAAAGTTTCAGGGTCAGCTATATAACCCTCAAAATGACCATAACCAAACTGATATATGGCCTGGTGAAGCTGTACCATTGCTTATCCTGAAACTGCCTTCATTTTTCTCCGAGCATTCTTACAGAAGAAAATGAAGCACATATATACTTGTACAATCAGCTCACAGAAAATACAAACAGAAGCTTTGTATATGCAGTAGTATCTCACAGCTTCAGTTAAGGATTACACCCTATTCTATTAAGTATAATGAAAGGCACAAGAACAAAAATTAATAATAAAATTATTATCTTTGCTGCAATTATCAGTAGCGTCAGGATATATGCTAAACCACTGTCGTATGTTTGAAAACATAATTGAACGGGTCACTTTTGAAGATGGATTTTTACTGGACACTCAGAATACAAAAGAACTCAAAACCCTACTACCACTGAAAAATTTATTAATGACAAAATGAAGGCAGAGATTGATGATATCAAATTTGATTAAACAGGACAGAAGTGAGGCTAAGGCATAAAGTGCCTTTTATAAAAGTAGCCTGATACATCAGATAAAGGAAAGCAACAGAGGGAAATATAAAGCAGTAGGAAGCAGATTATCAGAGAATTGACTCAGATATATGATATTACAAGCAATGTTTTGAAGAGAACTGACAGGAACCAGATTGCATCTGTCAAAGCCAAAAACCAAGATTCAAAAAAAATTTTAAGGTTTTATGGCAATTACACAACTCTATACATATATACTTCAGAGTGACTGAAAGGTCCTCTCCTACTGAAACTACTGTTTTCTCCAATCCAAATGCCTAGGCACATAGTTTCTCCCCCTGGATTCCCATTACACTATACTGGTTGGTTCTGTCTAGACTCTCTCATTCCCAGTATACTTTTTCTCTTTCTCTCTTTTTTTTTTCCTTTCCTCTTTTCTTTTATTCTTTGGTCTATGAAGTCTTATCCCATGATTTTACTTTCCACTCCTCTCTTTCACTCTCAGTTTGCTGTCACCTTCTACCAAAAGCTCTGCTGTTACACTCCCCTTCCCATGAATATTCTTCAACCCCTTAAAACACTGAAAGCATTTTTCTGTCTGAATCTCTGCATCTCTTATCGTAAATTTCGTGAACTAGGCTGTAATTTACCTTTTATAAAATATTTTTACATAGTCTTCTTCACAAACTCATACTGAAACACTAGTTCAGAAAGTTCACGAGCATGAAATCCTACTTTAACTTCCAGAAATCTGATTTAGCCTTATCTATCAACTTCATTGGCATAATCTTCTCCCTTAGGATTTTTCATCCTTTATTTTGTAGCCAAAAATATATTTCTAAGGATCACTATGTCTTTATAATCCCCATAGCTATAATCTTTTCCTGTCTCTATACACACTTATTTACAAATCTTTATTTTGGGTTTCCATATGCAGCCTTATCCGATTTCATCATGCTATTTCCTTTTTCTGAGCTTTAAACTTTCTCTAATTCTGTCTCCTTCTCACTTCTGTTGTCTCCTCCCACTAGTGACTGCTTTTCTTTGATGGTCAGTCCTATTTAAATAACCTTTAGAATACCTATCTAGGTGTGCCCTGTATTTAAATTGTCCCTTTGCTGTTTTCACCTTCTTGCCATCAGCAATCTCTTCCCTAGAAAGCACTGCCTTTCCTTTTCTTTTCTGCTTTTCATTCTCGCATATATTGTTTGCTCTAACAAAAATAATTTGTCAGGTCTATATTGCAAGGCCATCAAGGCAGAGGCCTTTTTCTCTCACTCTTTAGGTCAGAAGAGAGAGAGCAAGAACACTTACAGTATTACATAAACAACAGTAGTAAAAATGACACAGCATTAGCCTAATACAGGAAATGAATACTCCTTGGTGTGTTGTACATTCAGCCTGTAAGCAGACTTTTAGACCTAAGAAATTGCCAAACAGCAAGAGGGGATCTTTTGTTGAATAGCAGCCAAAATTAATACATAAACATGCAAATAAAACCACTGTTTTTAATATACTTTAAGGCAACAAAGAAGCACATGTGAACCATAAAATGTATTCACAGTACATGAATAATTTAGCAACATTTAAAAGGAGTACAGTGATCACCCCATATAGGAGTGTAATCAACGTTTAGTTTCCCATGGGTTAAGAAGTATATCCTGAACTCATAGACACATGAATTCTTCCCTTCTGAGCAGAAAAGCAGGACATGTCTAAAGGAATCTGAGATGAGTGAAAAATCAGATGTCAAGCTTTGTGCAGCTCTGCTTTGCTTGGTTGTGTGCAAAACATGCTTCGAATACACCTTATGCAGCCAATTTTTATTGGTGGGCTATAGTTTCAGTTCAGTAATTACACAGTGACTCAATTTCTCATTAACTCGGGTTTCTCTGTTAAACTTTCAGTCTCTCATCAACACTCATTTTTCTGTAATTCAGTGTGTTAACATGTAAACTGAATTTTGATCATTCTGTCTTTGAAGTTTGGCGACTTTCCCTAGATCTGATTGTGAAGATTGGGTTTAAGTATGAGGTTTCCAGAACTGAAACAGCAGCTTGAAGTTAGAATCTACAATTTTACATTTCTGAAAACTGTTAAGTTATTAATCCATTGAGAAACATTGTTCATTTGCATAAAGTATTACTCCATACTGCTTTAATATAAAACTGGTTCTGTAATTCCCCTCTCAGTTTGACACAGTTTAATGTTTTTTACAAAAGGTTTTTTAATGTTGCATATATCTGTCCCAAGCTAAAACTGAGTGAATATATGAATAGTATCATTTTCTCTATTATGTAGAGAAATTATTTTTTTTAAGATGGATTTAGTTTTTATGTATTTTCTTCATCATATGTGTCCTTACACCACAGTTTTGTGTCTAAAGAACTTTCAGATTGTTTGGGTAGGAGGGACCGCCTGATAACTACAAATGCGTATACGCGATATATCTAGAGAACTCAATGTAGTTAAAATCTAGAGATTTTAACGCAGGCAAGAACAATAAGATTTTGATAGAAAAGTACTTTCATTTAAAAAATTGAAATAGTGACAAGTGACAGAAGAGATGCTGTAGAAAAAGATATTAGTAAAAACCAGGATAGATAAATACTCACAATACGAACAAGCCAAGCCAATGTAGATGTTGATGTAGAGTAGTGGGTGTTGTAATGATAAGGTGGAGTCTGATCATCTTCCCATGTCTCATACCGTTCTGCATAGAAGACTGCTCTCTTTGGGTTCAAAGCACCAATAGGCTGCAAAGGGGGAAGAGGTCAAATGTATTATCAGCTGAAGGGCAGCATGTCTGATATGTCATAGGTTAATTCTGCATTAAGATTCACTACACAGGAGAGACTGCAACCAAACTCATCCCATGGTGTAGTAATTCCTTCAGATTGCTGTAATCTTAGATTTCCTTTTGAAGGGCTTTGTGTACTAAAAGTCTTATGACTCTCCTTATTTTAAATGACAAATATAAGTGATCCACATGTGCAGACTTTCAAGACCTTCTTGAAGTATGAGTTGTTTCCCAATTAATTCAGTTAACATTGTTCTGGAAATAGACTTCTAAAAATGCATTTAAAATGCATCGAGGCCAAACTAATATTTCTGTTGCTGTCATTCACCATAATCACACAGCTAATGAAAACTGACTTTTGCTCACACAGGATACTTTGTAATGCACAGTTCATGATGAAAAGATTTCACGCAGGACTGCTGATGGTGTCTGGTGATCCTAAGCAGAAATACTTAAAAACCATGCATAGTCTTGCAGGACTGGATGTATTTTCCGACTGAAGAAAGCCACATTTTACTGAGCAAAAAAAACAAGCTTTGTACTTAAAAACAATAGCTTTCGGAAATTATTCACGAATTCAAAGTCTATTCTGAGCATATGTAACAGACAATCTATAAAAATTAGGTAAAACCCAAAAGAAATGTAAGATAGTAGTAGGGACTCTTGCTTTTGGTGTGTCTACTTAGGGGATACATGCTTTTCTATGATTTTTTTAACCTACTTTAGCTCAGAAATTTTTCAAAATGTATGGTCATTGTGTGTCCAGAAGTCCCTGAGACAAAGAAAATACAACAGAAAGCAACTAAAATTTTGAAATAAATATATAAGTGATCTTAAATCTGCTTTTCCAGATGAGCCAGAATCTTCAGATTTTAGCTTTTGTAGTAAAATTGACCAGTTTAATACTTAGAGAGCACACTTCCACATATAATAATTGTATAACCTTAATATAATTTTAAATGATTACTTGATTGTATTAATCAAAATTAAGAGTTAGAATTCATATTATTAAGGGAATTACAACCTGAAAACAAACATATACTCAAGGACTTTGACACTTTTCAAAATGCTACCAGGTATTATGACATTTCATTTTACTGCACAATTTTTCCACTGAGCTAAAATGCAAAGTAATTTGGAATGGAAATAGCAGTATAAGGTCAAATCAGTTTGTTTCACTATACTATGTATGTAAACGAACAACTTTAAAGCTACAAGTATTTTATTCCTTCACTGCTGCTATGTTTTTTGAGATGGCTTACATAGAACATCATGTTTTCCAATTTTACATATTAGAAATTGTTTTTAAATGGCAGTGTTTGATGAACACTTAGATTTTAGAACTATGATTTCAGTATTTTTCACATGAAACACTTGGGATGCTTAATACTTTGCTGTGTCATGAAGATGTTAATAGCTTTCTCGTAAGTGTAAAATGTATGAGTAATCCCTAAGGATCAGTGTTATCTGGTGCAGATTGCACTGCAAGACCTCACAAGACATTCTTGAAAAAGAAGTATGAGCCATTCCCTAACACTTTACAGGCTTGTTTTCCAACTACTGGAAAAAAGAAAAAATAAATATTTGCATTTTTTTATACTCGGTTTTGCTACACATCCTGCCACTGTCAGAAAACATGCTGGCATTATTATAGCCTATAAGCTGCCAATATATAAAAATGGTTGTTCAACCACTTCCTTGATAGAGCAACTTATTAAAAGACATGCTTTTCCTATTAGACTGACAAACTGTGTAGATATACGTGCACTTAACTAAACTGTATCAGGGCTCTGGGTTGCTTTGGGGACTGTGTGGGACCTCCTGATACCACCCTCATTAAGGTACTGTGAATCCACTACTCTGGCAGAACAAATTCCCATCCCCAAATGCACATTTCAAAAGCTAAAGCAGTAATTCACACCCTAGTCTGTTAACAGGAAACATTCACCCCCTCTGAGAAAGAAACACAAAATGGCAGACAAATCAGTGAGACTGTATTTTGTAATGGAAAAACACCCTGAGAATATCTCTTCCCTCCACTGTGAAGGTAGCTCTTACTCTACACTGCACTGAATTCTGAGGCTATGGAAGACAGAGGCATCATCTGTCACAGTATTACTGTACATATATGTTTGAAGGTACAGTAGGGAAGCAATATGGTGATTAATTCAAGACTCAAAATCAAAAGTCCAGGCCTTTCAAAATATATTTGAAGCTAATCAGATATCTTTTGTCAAATAAACTGTGTTTTCATTCTTCACTGTAAATTGATTACAGTAACAAGAACTGTGAAGCATAACTGATGTTCAAAAATAATTACAAGGTATTTTATTTTATAGACTAGCAAAATTTTAATGATGGTTTAACCCATAGCTTTAAATAACTCTTAAAAAAAATAGTTGTATTTAATGAAAAAGGTACTTTCTCAAGAACTTGACAATAATTTTCCAAAGTCACATAAAATGCTAATGCAAACACACCATCATGGTTTCTAGGTTCTTCAAGGAGAAGTTATTTCAATTTAAAAGATAAAAGATGTAAGATTGTAAGATGGTGCGCTCCCATTTTCATGTAAAAATGCCTGCACAGTAGCTAAAATAATCTACTTTCAGAAGACACATGTTCAATTTATTAAATGATAAACCTAAAAAGCTGTATTCTGAAGATTACCTTCATCCTCATCAATATTCTTTTCAGAGTCTGAATCTATTTTTCTTTCAATTACTTTAGGATTCATTTGAAGAGAAATGCTGAAATGCACAAAATATCTGCTGAATAAAATGGAATCTTTAGAGGGAAATATCATGAGAGTCATCTCTCTTCTTTCACGGTATGGAAATTTTCATGTGAAAATCTCTGGGAAGAACGTTTTCTGGGAATTACCCATCCTTGCACAGAAAGAAAGGAGGGGGTGAGGTTGAGCTTGTCTTCACCTAGAAAGTCTCACCTCGACTTCTTGGGACAGATCCTGGATTTGATGAACTAGTGATCTGGACGGTAGCTTTGGATTCAGGAGATCCAGGTTCATTTCTGCCATTCCATGAAGATTTCTAGTGTTCCCGGGTGAATGGCTTAGGTAAGACTATTGCTTGCAATACAAAGGTGTGCTAGAAATCCCTGAGCTAGCTCTAGAGGAGCTAGCATGCAAACACAGCACCATTTATGCAGAGATGACAATGGAATCTCAGAAGTAGTGCAGCTGCCCCACTGCAGCGCTGCACAGGGAAAGCTGGGAGCTGCCCACGCTCATACAACTCTGCAGCTTCTGGTTCAGGATTACATCAGTTATCTCTGGCCTGTGGTGAATAAATATAAGGAACATCTGATCCCCTTTTTCTCCTTTTCTGTGCAGTAATGGGGACCTCTATGTGAACTACTTCGTTGCACATTAATGGAAAGTACTCTAACCCCTCATTTTTTTTGTTGATGTAAATTTAAATTTAAAAACTTGTCAATTAACCACAAATAGATCAGCTTCTGTGTTCCAAATGCCCAGGCATTTTCTGAAAGCAAAAACTTCCCTAAATGAAGTGGCATGGAGTAAATTCAGAGAGGTCTGCCCCTGGCTTCCTAAACACTTTTTTAATGTACATGTGGCTAAATGCTATCACCCAAAGAAATGGTAAAAGTTCATCCTTCAGTAGAGACATGCATTTTCTGTAAAGACTTTAAAACTCAGTTGTACAGACTAGCAACTAACTGAGTTTTTCTCTGATGAGGCATGTGTCCTGCTAGGTGACATGTTCTACAGTAATGGTAGCCTGACATTTCTTGTGAATTGTAGGGTATATGGAATATTGGTCACTTTTCTATAGTGTGACAGTGCCATTCTCAGTCCAGAAAGTTAACCTCTGTGGTTCTAATTTTGATACCATGGGTATAAAGTGAAGATAAAATTTATTTATGGATCAATCCCCATACCTTCACATAATGGGAGAAAATTTTACTTCCATTTCAGTGAGATTCTACTGCCATGTAAACTAGTTAAAATGACTTGCATAAATAATACAAAGGCACATATCAATCCATATACTATGTCTCAGTCAGTACCTTAAGCATAAGACTAGTACAAAAACTGAATTTGAGTCAAATTGTTGTGAACATTAAATAAAAAGTTCTTTCTATAATGTTTTATAAAATGCTTTTTCCAAACACACTATTTGTCTTTTTATTTAAAAAGTCCTTTGTAAAACTCATATCAAATAGTATTACCTTTTCATAAAAAGGTATTATAAGATATACTTTACTCCAACCAAGCAAAAGAACTCACTTTATGACAATGCCTATTCGGCCACTTCACTTCTGATGTAGTAAAAGCTGCCTGAGTTTATTTTATACTTCTTTTTCCATTTAAAAATAAAGTAAGTATTTACTTTAACATTAAAACCACACTGTTATTCATGTCATTCTTTTTTCATCTGGCTAATCTCTTTAGACATCTGGCCTTTGAACCAGTGTATTGTCAATACATCTAGTGTTTATATCCACTGGACATGTTATGTTAGCTCATGTAATATTTACTGTTTTGCCAGTGATCTTCCATAGAACTACATTCTCTCATGAGAGCATAACTGAACCCAGCACCCCATTTATGCAGCCACTGAAATAGTCTGCTTATCTTGACTCCAGTTCATGCAGCAGTTATCTATTTATGTCTTATTCTTTTTTTTTTTTTTTTTTCTGTAATGTACTGCGCAAAATAGTATCTGGGTACAAAAGAAATCTTGAGCATGCCTTTATGTGGCTCTGGCTGAATACAGACTGAGCTCTTCCTGACTGCTTGCTTTTTTATTAAAAAAAAACCCACCAAACAACAATCTTTAAAAAGAACATCTCAGGAGGGTACTTTAAAGTTTAAGATAAATTCTAATTTTATCCAAATTTGTAAATAACTTTTCTTCAATATCAACATTATAAAATACAAGAGTTCTGTCAGATTCAAAGTACCAGAGTTTCACTGAGTAAACAAACTTCTTATTTAAGAAAATAAAATGTTTAATTGTGTGGCTTAAACCAAATGAGAATCAAACTCACTTTTCTTCTGATGGTAGAGTTGCATGTGGTAAAGAGAGGTTACAGAAACTGATTTCATTTTTCCAGTGAGAGTGGCTCTTGATAAGCCCATAAACTCCATTCCACAGCTTACACATTTTTGGAAGTATTAAGTGTGGTTTGCCTTGAAATATTCACACTTCGATGTGTTCATTTGCATTATTACATTTAGAAGCCTTGGGGCTTTATCACTTCCTTTTCTTGAAATGGCACAGTAATAAGGAAAAGTGGTTATGCTTATCACCACCCGTCAGTCAAACACCTTCTATATTAACAAAATATAATTTTTTCCACTCAATGAATGGGCGTGTGATGTTTCATACACATGTCAATATTAGTATTACTTTGCCTGGTGAAGAAATCATTTTATTTAACAGGAGGTATGACTGGAAGTAAACGAGAAGAAATTCCCATTTACACTTTAATGAGCAGGGACAATGCAGCATGTCAAACCGATGCACTCACTATAATTTAGGAGTAAAAGTCATGCAATTTTGCACAAACAAACCATACTACATTTTCAGTGTGTTGAAACCTCCCAAAACTCAGTGTACAGTAAGGGCTGCATACACATTTCCTGTACTAATGTTTAATACCATGGGTATTCTTCCAAAGGAAATCTCAATAAAGAAGAAAATAAGCAGATCACCTGGTGGTTTGATAGTGAAAAGATAATCTATGTATCTATGACAGCCTCTTTCATTAGCTTTTCATCCTGTCAAACAATAAATATAACCTTTAACCTTGTATATGTAATGAATAAAACTTGAGCCTACACTGTCTAATCAAATGAGAGGTCCAATATATCCTACTGCTATGGCACCTTCTATGCCCATGGGCCCCGGTTTTAAATCTCATATGTAAAAGGGAAAAATGCCTGGATAGGGGAATTTCCAAACACTTCAAAGAAAAAGGACAGAAGAATTCTCAGACTAATATTTAACTGTAATTGTTCTGAGGCAACAAACATCTGGAAGTAAAAGTACCACAATAAGGAGTGCTACATAAAACCAGAATAAAATGGAATAGAAGGAAAGGACAAGTTACATGTTCCAAGACAGCTTTGCAGAAATGTATATATTTAAGTTTGAGTTAAATGCAAAAGGCATATGCTTTGCTCTGTCACTGACATCATAAGCAAGCCAAACACATTTAATTTCATTTCCACAAAACACGAGTTGCATTTGTTATGTATGTTCACTTAGGAGTTATGATACTGCAAAGGTAGTGTATCATATTTTATACAAAAAGCCTAGGAATCAAAGGTTTAAAAATTTCAGAAGTACTGTCAATTATCATACTTGAACAATTATCATACCAGAGCTTTGTATGAACTTTGTGTGATAATACACAATTTAATTAAGTTTTAGAAAGTTAGATTAAGCATCTACATTTAACTATCAAAACTATTTTCAATCAGCAAAACAAAGCATAATGTTTCTGTTTTAATTTCATTGCATTTGTGTGCATTTACCACATATATAATAGTGTTAAAATTCTAAATAATTTCAAAAGATTGTTTGAGAGGTATTAATTACTAAATATTAAGGACACAGGCTTTGTAAAACCTAAGAAGGGCAAACTTGCTGAAAGAGAGAAAGCCAGGAATTGACAAAGGAAATTTTATCCATCAACAGATTAGCTGGAGGTTTTGATTTGCCACCAAATCTGCAGGAATATTTCTCCATTGCAAGGTAAAATCTGACAGAAGGAAGTGGCTCCTCATGGAAAGGATACTGTGTGTGACTGCCCCAGAGGTCTGGCTGAAGCTTAATAGCACACCCTGGTTCAATAATGTGAACAATAAATCACTAACTCCTGCTTTTAAGCACTAGGCTACTCAGGATTCACCTCTCTAACAAGGAAAAAAGGGGCTTACTTACAGATACAGGATGATATCAAAAATGAAAACAGAATTGCCAAGGAAATACTTCAGATATGTTTTGATTTTGAAGATTTTTACTGATAATGCACAAATTGAAACAGGATGCAAGTAATGCATAACAGCCCAAGTGCACAAAGTAAGGCATTTATTATTAACTGGCCACTGTCCTCTACAAAAAAATATTAATCTATTTTTCCTTTTAAAACCATTGTAAAATGATCATATGTTATTATAGTAAACACTGGAAAAAAATGACAATTACACCCCTTTTATCCTGAGGGATCCCACAACACTTTACAGATTGCACGTGTTTTCTCACGCATCTATGGGATAAATGCAGCCTAGATATTGCCAGACAAGAAAGACCATCCATTCTCCTTAACTAGTTCTGTGTAGGGCTTTTTTTTAGTGGTCAAAACTCTAGCTTTTCAAGAGGAAACCACTGGTAGCTTTTGAATAAAAGAATGCAGTTATCAAATTGGGTAAGAAAAAGTCCTCAGGCAAAATACTGCTGTGCACATTGCACGGATTCTTGAAGAATCATAAATAACCAAGGACTTGATTTTATATTTCCTTTCAAGGGAGAGCTCTACTAGGAGTGCAGTGATACTTAATAAGCTATACAAGCACTAATTCCATAATGAGTCTTTACTAACTCATGAGGAAAACCTATCTATTCAACTATCATGCTACTTCCTGTAGCAATTACATACTTTAATAGGCTGCCATAAAAATTTGGACTCAACCAAAACTAAGTACCTAATGAAGGATTCCTGAGACGCTGTCTTAATCATGTTGCACTTCACCACATGCAGTGCTATTAATACTAACAAGAAGTGAGTTTGGGAGATTTTGAAAAGTGTAAGCATCTTAATGAAAGGTTTACCACTATAAACAATTCTAAACCAGAAATATTTTTATACATGCTAGGGAACAAGCCAGTGCAGGATGATCACTGATCTTTATTTAGCTCATGTCTGTGGATTTTTCCTTTATTGTTGCTGGCACAGATTACAATGGTGTTACAGAATTGAAAAACACATTTGCGAAACATACTTATAATATTGTGAAGGCTCAGAAGTTTTACATAATGTAAATAGAGTCTCAACTAATTTGTTTAAATTTGAGGCACACTGTGAATGTAGATTAATTTCTGGTTTTATTTATTTATTTGTTTAGGAAAAAAAGGAGAGAAAATTAGGTGTGTCTATCTGCTATTATGCAATCAAGTCCTACGTGATTTATTTTGGAAGTCTCACAAAAACAGGCTTCCAGGAATGGATAACAATACATCTAGAGGTACTGGAAGCATACTCTTTCCAACAGAGATATGAGACTATGAGATACCCGTGGTGGGATCTCTCCGTTGCTGCCCAGGATGTGTATGTGCAGGAAAAGGAGGAAAGAAAAGCAGACTTAAAGGCAGAAGCTGCAGAAACTCTCATCTCTGTCTAGCAACAGAAGGGAAAGCAGGGGCTGCAGCACAGGCCTTGGGGGTCATTTTCTCCTCTCCAGCCTCATTCCTTTAAGTTCCTCTCCTCCAGCCTCACTAAGTCATCAAGTGCTGGCCCCCTATGGTTTTGAGCCTCAGTCAACTTGGACGGGCAACTTCTGCCTCCTGGCTGAGGAACTGTGGCAAAGATGAAAGAAAGCTGTCCATGCCCAGATAACAGAAACGACACGCTGGGGATGTTGCAAGGCTACCCACCTTCACTAACTAGGGAAGTACACACACTTTCTTAGCTGATAGGAGCCAGGAAAGAGACTTCCCACAACCCAGTTGCAAACCCTGGTTTTTGTGTAGAGCCCTGCCATATGCTTCTGCTATGATTGGTCAACACACCTTCTCTCCAGTCTGTTGACACAATCAGAGGACCACAGCTGGGTATAGATGGCAGCCTGGTGCTATTAGAGAAACAAATACTAGGAACTGTGTAATTATAAAGCAGTAACTGCCCAAGTCTGGCTGGAGGACAAAACCCACAAATAATGAAAGGGATCAGATACTCCAGGGTCTAAAATACAAAGTACTTGTTTACTGGATAATTATTAAGCAAAGGGAGGTGCTGCTATTACATTACTTATCTAGTCATTGCAAAATAAAGTGAAAAATTAGTTCAAACTTTTTCTTTCCAAAGGATCAGCTTTCAAAAACTAAGGGATATAATTAGTGAGATGAAGTGGTCTGATGTGATCCATATCATAAGGTATGGAGGAGTTACAGGTTTGGAACCAGATCAGTCAGGGATATGGAAGTAGCATAATGTAGATACTCAGTATAAAATCATTCTAAAATTGAGAAGACTATTTCAGACTTTTCTGACTTTAAGATCTTTACCTAACTTAACTAAATTATATATATAAAAAACAAAATTTCTTCCTGAAGGGGCTGGCTGACTGTCTTTAACAAAATTAAAGCATACCTTTGAAAGATCTCTGAAGTTCCCTGGAAGGGTCAGGTCTAACTCTTCGGATTCATAGTTTGTTAAAACCCATGGAAATACAGGGTATTGGTTCAAATCATTGTACGTTCGTCCTATGAAGAAAGAAAATGTTTCAAGAATTAGAAAAAGGTGTCCACTTCTCCAGCTGAAACATAATATAGTGGTTACTTTTGGTGCATCACATGTTCCCAGTTCCCACCACTTGATAGAATCAGGTATAAATCTTCCAGACAAAAGTATTCATTTAGATGCACTTATCTTGAATCAGAAGTCAACACAGAAATCAGCATAATATAAAGAGCACAATATCTTTTAGGATCAACTAAAATGCACCATATGCCAATAAACACTTTCTTTTTTATTTCCATTAAGCTATTTTCATAGCATGAATGTTGAAATGTAAAACCACTGGACTATTATTTTCCTAACAACTGTATGCAGTATCATTACCTGGCAAGGATTAAAGGAGACTCCAAACAGCAGGGGCTAAATTTGAGGTTTTTAAATCTAGGTCTATCCTAGATAGACCGTATTAATCCATCATTCCCCATGGCTCTTCTTCACTGAAGAAGTGGTGAGATTTCACAGCAATCATAGAATCAAAGTGGAGGAAGTCATGTTTGCTTTAATACTATTTTGTAACCACTTTGAAAATTTAAAATATTTTTATCCCTCCTAAAAGACAGCTGACTGTCCCAGGCCACTCCCTCCAAACTTAATGAAAGAAACACCGCTACCATCCCAGTGGTTCAAATGTGCAAAAGCCATCTTTATGGTTTCAAAAGAACAATCTGCAACTGAACTTAAAATTATGAATTCATCACTGGGAAAAGTGTGTTTAGGAAAGTCTGTTATTTCTATCTCAGCTGATATTTAGTAGAATCTAACATTTCAATGATAGAACAAATGAAGTTGCTTAGTACAGAACCATCCACCATATTGATTTACTGAGAACCACACAATATGCAACATGAGTCTTAAAAAACAAAATCAGGTCATAAATATATGTGTGTGTGTATTTATATAATATAATTAGCAGACTGAAATAACCCAGGTTAACAATTCCCAGTCCTGCAGCAGATTTACAGCCCTGTCTCACTAACTGCTTCCTTCCAGATTCTGAACAGATTCCTGGGGTACAAAACCCAGCACAGGAAAACACAGGCTTCCTTGTTCTGAATAGCATTTTCAATTCTCCACAAAAATCAGCTCTGCCTTAATGAAATGTGAAACTTTCACTACTCTACAAACACCTTATTTTTTCAATAGAAGTTGATGAACAAGAAGCATGTTTCTATTTTGTACATAGTTTCAGTGAAAACAGGAAAAGTGCATCTTTTTAACAACTGTGTGTCCTCATTTTTACATTTTGAACACAGATGTTCTCAGGAATATAAAAAAATAATTGAGTTGCAATTACAATTTTGTTAAGAAAAGCAATAAGGACTGTGTGCCACACACAAATAAAGACGGATAGAAACAAACCCATCTCTTTAATATCAACAATGAATGAATGCAAAACCTCTCTTGGACAGAACGAGAATGTATCAAATAATTAAATTGAGAAATACACCAGAATTTATCCATGTGAGTGAGGAAAAGGAAAGGTACTCTTTAGCAAAATATTAATTGTTCTACATTTTTCTGGAGGGGCTCTATATATCTTAAAGTAGGACAACTCTGCCTCATTTTCCATATCTGGCAAATCAGAATATTATCTTCCCTTTTGGCAAGGATTAATTACATATGATTTGTAAAGTTTATTGAGACTGTCAAATTTAAGGTTCTATAAAATATGGCCTTTATGAAACTATACCTTTATACAATCAATATTTTTCTCACCATCAGAATCCTCAATTAAGAATGTGCAAAAGCTTCCACAAAAGAAAGACATTTGTGTTTATGTAGACAGCAGACTAAAAGAAATTTGAGATTCAGGAAGAGAATGACTGAGATGACTGTAGTCTATTACAAAAGCATAAGCAAAAATGATGATTCTTCAGAATCAAAAGTTTTATGGAAAAGAGTTCACAGTTATAAAGACCTTCAACTGAAAACACTTTCTAAAAACATTTGGAAGGGTGAGGATATGCTTTCGCAAAATTTTGAAAGGAAATTTAGGGTTCTCCAAAATTAATTTTTATTTCAAGACTGAGATTTTCCATATTGGGGTTTTCTTTAATTTTTATATTAATTTCATTCATTTAATTTCAATTTCAGTATTCAGTCAACAAGATTTTGACTTTTTGTTCCTATTCCACACAGGAAAATCATAAATATGTGAATAGCGCAAGAAAAATGCAATCCTGAGCCTAACTGCTGTACACAAGTTCTCCTTTACTGTGTGGTTTTGATAAGTTACTTATAGTATGGACACATGAAAAAATTATCACGTGGAATTAGCTCCATGTCACGACACTCCAGTAACTCTTGTGTGCATTTTTTTACCCCTCAGTGAGAAATAATTTGAAGCAGTTTATCCCTCAGCTTAAGTAGGATAAATTACAAACAACGGAGCCTATGTGATCATGTATTTGATAAATATAATCATAGTCTTGTGAAAAAATAAACAAAATATTTACTTCTCTCCTACTTAAATATTTATAAATCCTATTTTATTTATGAAGAGATTAACTACTAAGAATATCTATTAATTTGTTTAGTAAAAAAGTTAGTGATTTATTTTTATCAATTCAATAATTTTATTTTTAATATCAACAAATAAAAAAGACTAGAGAAGACGAACCATAATTTAAATTGTGAAAGGAGACCAAACCTATGTGATTAGGTAAGACCACACATCTATGTTTATCTGAGTGGAGGACAGTGATCTAGGCCTATAATGGGATTACAGATCCCTAATTCTAAACATGCATAAATATTAGTGGTTTAACTTTATTAGGAATGCTTTCTTGATCAGTTCTGGATTCACAATGACTATTTTCAGAGTAAAGTCAGCAGATGAATATATTTAGCCATCTCACCAATTATCTGGTGCTTCCAGCAAGAATTATTTGTTTTTTTCTGTAGCTAAATAAATATAAAACATAAACCTGTACCGCTATTGGTAGTCCCTATACCTTTTCAGAAGCTTCAGATTTTCCCCCTAGTAGGCTTACAGAGATTAATATTAAAGGCTGAATATTAAATATCGCAAGCCTGTGACACTAATCTACTTGAACAATAAAACTGAGGCATAGTAAATGAGATCTCAGAAATACTGGATATGTTTCTTCATTAAAAAAAACTTTTTAATTAAACCATCCAATTTAATGTTTTTATATGGCACTTTAGTTTTGAAGGTAAAGTGAGCTAGAGACAGCTGACAAAGAAATTATAACTGCAATTCCTTGGTGAAAATGTTAATGACAGCAAAATATTGTTTAATTAGATGATTGCAGCATCTGGATTAACACTCTTTAAGAGCGATGTTCCTGTGCTTGTCTGCTTCTTCACACTTTACAGACATTTTGTCATCTCTAGGTCATTAGGAAAGAATTTTTAATGATTTTTCTAGAAGCAAGTAGTTCGAGTTACATCTAATTAGATGACAATAATAAGCCCAACACATGCAGTAGCTAAATATATACATAATTAACCAGTGAGGGCTTGTACATCACAGAGTAAAAAAGTGGAAAATGCTAAACAGGCGAAAAAAAAGAGGGAGGGGGAAGAAGTTCATCTGAATTTATTACCTGACTTAAGATGTCATTTTTTTCCACAAACCTTTAAAAATAATCCCTTTCCACTATGAGAAATGACTTACAAAAATTATGGATATAATTATTCTCCACTTCTTTTAAAAGCTGTGGCAGGTAGGATTTAAAAGAACTAAAATTCCAATAAATAAAAATGCAAACACACATTCTGCAATTTGAAAATAAAAAAACCTAGCAGAAATCAGTTAAATACTGAGAAATTGATTTGAAATCTATACTTCTAACTAAAAGAGTAGGCACTGCAACCATATTACAAGACGATTTCTTGTTCCCACTCTTCTTGATTCCTTTTGCTGTAGTGGGATTAGTTTTAAGTACTTTTGTCAATAAGCTTGTAACTGAGAATAGTAAAAATTACTTGCTCCCTATATCACCCAGAGGGTTGACATACATGCTGATCACATGCGATACGGCCTTTTCCTGTGCATCTAAAGAAAGGACAATTAGAATGATCATAGCTACTTCCAAGCATTCAAAGCTAAAGGATCCCTGAGAAGGCAATAGGTAGGAGGAGGGGGAAGGTGGCCAGGAAGGCTTATGTCTACATAACCAGGACAAAAACCAGGGGCACAGAGAGTATAACACTGAGACTGATTGATAAGTCGCAGAGTGTAGTGTTTACCTTTGGGAGAAAAACCCAGAGCTGTAAACATGATGAAATATGCTCAAGTCAGAAAAGAGGGCAAGAAAGAGGTGAAGACCTTGGAAACAGAATAGGGAGGAGAGAAAATAGTTGGCTAGAGGGCCAGACAAACAGGTTGAAACAAGACTTTATAGAGTTTGGAAAATAGAGAGCAATTTCAAATTGAAATTGCAATGAGACATCAGGCCAGTGCAAGTGATGGTAATCAGATATCCTTGGATAGGAAATTATCTAGAAAGAGAGAACTGTGATAGCTGAAGTAGACAGTTATTAATTCATGAGTACAGATCACAACAGAAACAGTTAAACTAAAAATGAAGCCAGGTAATGTTCCAGAGGTGGTAACATGGTGATGTAAAGATTTTTTAAAAAGTCATAGAAAGATGGACTTTTTCCAAGGGGACACTTCAGTATTTCAAGCATTGATTAAGAACTTATAGAATAGCCAGGGGCCATGCTTGTCAAGACAGAAAAATTGGCAAACCAGAGAGAGATTTAAGGAGAGATTCGTATATTTATTTCAGTGGTCCTGTTCTACAGAGACCAACCCATCTGTGTAATTAACAGTATTAACGAGCAGTCAAAGGACTTCTTGTGGGAAACGACCCGGTTGCATGTCACAAATGAAAGAAATGAGTTGGTGTCAGAAGCCTCACTTCTAAATTGTCTCTCTTCTAAGGCTGCCGTTTCTTGAATAATTTCAGAAAAGGATCACAAGAAAACATGACTGATTTCTTACTGTTTTGTAAAATGGGCTAGATACTACTTAAGGACCACTGTAAGAAGAAAGAAAGCTACAAAGAATTGGCAAAAAAATGTATCAAACCACTTCATTACCACTTCATTAGTGGACCTCTATTTATTTGGAAGAGAAGAAAAATCAACAAAGGGACCTATGTATCAATTACCAGCAGATAATCCACATTTCTTAAGTGCCAAACCTCCACACCTCTTAACTGACTAAGCTATATCTCAGATATGCTGAATAAACCAGTAGGAGATAAAAGGCAACGCAAATAAAAAAATTTTGAAGCTTGTATTTCTCGATGACTAAAACCAATATTGTCAAAAAAGAAGATGCTGCTTAAACAAACAGTTATAGTCTAATATGAGGCCATTGCTGCCTACACAAACAATTACTGGCAAAGAAGTTGTATCTTTTAAGGAAATATTTCTTATGTGGTCTCATTACAAAAGAGTGTAATTAAAAATTTATTTGGAAATTGGATTTCCAAAGAAGAGAGAAAAGAAAATACATGTCTTCACTTGGCAAAGGAGGTCATGAATGTATCCAATACTCTATCTTTGTATACAAAACAGAAAATCTTGTATCTGCTTCTGACTGACAAGGGTCTTGTCCACAGTCCATATAAGAACTTGCTTCTGTTTAACACAGAAGTATCTGGACAGTTATCAGTTCAGTGTTATCAAAACAAGGGCAACATGTAGCAGAGATACTTTACTTCCAGTACTGTATTTCTGGTAGATATAATAAATATTTTAGTGCTTCGTTAGAAAACACATATTTGTTGTAAAGGAAGTATTTTGGAGAAATACCTTTCAACAGAAGATTTACAGAAGCACAGGCACAGCTGTAAAAGCAGTGGTGTCAATCAGGCTGCCTCATAGCTCGCAACCCTGCAGTTTCCCAGATCTCAAGCCCTGGCAGTAGATTGCCATACGATAATGGAGCCAGGAAACAGGTTGCAGATGTGAGAACCTCTAGGCTTTATAACATATATTTCTGTTTTGAGGCTTTCTCCACTGACATTGGACTTGGAGCTCACATACACTCCATTGTGGGTGGGTTTCTGGTTTGCCATGAATTTTATGAAGAGATTCTCTGCAATACCCCCAAGTTCTTCATGAGTTTTTGGAAGTCAGCTTCCTAGCTGAAGTTCAGACTTCATTAGAACTACAAAACAAGGTTATCTTTCAAAAAAGATATTGGGGGGATATTTTCTTCTGTCAAAATGCTGAAAAAGTTTAGGGTTTGTTCCAAACTGGAATAAAAAGTTTATTGTCATGTGTAGAATTGCCTGTTGGCTTTCAGTCAGTTTTAATTCTCTGGTTTTCAAAAAAGTTTGTATGTGTGTGTGTCACTGGCAGAGAGTCCAGCTTTTGATGGTAAATTTTATTCTAGATTTCAGAAAAACTTCACAAGTTTCTATTAGAGTGAATCAGTGACTGCAGATGTTATAATGATATTAGCAACTGAAATCTATTTATCTGTGTTCATAGAGACTACAAATCTTCAAAATCTTCAAGAAAATGAAGTAGAAATAAAAAGAACATAATACAGCAATGCAATCATGCTTTCTTACAAGCTGTTTGCATTGAGGGCCATTCTAACCTGCAATAGCCATAGGTGATGTCAGCGGACCCTTTACTTTGCTAATCCTGCTGGAACACTATCAGATGTGACAGCACTCTTGCTGATTTGGAAAGCAACCAAGAATCTCAGCTGCTTTTAGACATCCCTCCAAAATCTTTTATGAGATCGTACAGTGATACATGAACATGATGACTGTTGCCCTTCTTGGAAAATGAAAACACAGCAGAAAATATAGAGACTGGTAAGGACCCATTAGCAAAAGCCAAGCAATGCAGATGGATTTGAAATAAAAATCAGAGTAAGGGATATTCTTTGTGGCAAGGAAAAGGTCTTAAAATATTACCCAACGTATTGTTCACATCTTAGTAGAAGAGTATGCATGGTATTAATTTTTATTTGACCAATACTGGTCACTTCCAAAACTTTTAAAAATCAGCATATTGGCTGTCCTTCAGAAAACATATATTTGCGGATCCATGTGACCTCAAAGAATCATTAAAAAGAATGACTTTACAAAATGAGCCAATTAATACAAGATGGAGACAAAGAGTTAAGCTGAACTGCTTCTAGAGACTCAAATTTACCTCCCTCTCTTTCAGGGAATATGGTCTTTACCTAAATTAGAATTTGAATTCGATCATGCACTGCTGAAAGACTTCATAAGATGGTAGGTAATGCTGTGAAAACGAGCAAGTGTGGTTATACAATTAACAACAGTGAGATTATATGAACAAATGAGATTTACCAGTAAGAAGTTGAGAGCAAAAAATCTGCCAAAAACTAAACGCTTTGAGTCAGAGAGAGACACTACTAAGGTACTGACCAAGCTGCTGGAAGCTTTTCCAAATACAGTACAAGCTTACAGACACACACAAAAAAGAATTACTGAATCCTCCAAACCTTCGGTATAGCAGGTGGTACCTGGAATGCAAATGTCAGGCCATCCTGTTGTTAGGCAGGTGAATGACATTAGATAACATTAAAAGAAACTTGCCTCATGTAACTACCCAGGTGTTTGGGTATAAAGCCTGCCTACCAGTACTACTATCAAACAACAGGTCAAAAAACATTTTTCCTGAGCACTCTGAGATACTCTGAAAGGAATCTCTTCAGGCTGAAACTTGTTTATTGATGGATACTTTAGCCTAAGTGTCACTGCAATTCCTAACTGACTTCAGACATAATGATGGCTTCCAGGTTTGGATGCTTTGGTGATGTACCTAAAAATAAATTACCTTGGAGTTTTAAAATGATTAAAAATGAAAAATAACTTATCAAAAATTGGCTCTGCTCTTGTCTACTCTCATTTGAAGAGTTAATGCTGCTTTACAGAAGAAATGAATACATAAAAGGAAATTACAAGTGAAGGACAGTTCTGTCGATAACATGTTGGGCAAGGACTGAGGGGACCTAGGCTAACTTCCCAGCTCTCCAGTAAACCCTCCCAGTTCAGGTGAGGCAGTCAGGGAGCCTGTGAGGCTCTGCCTGCATTTCCTCATGACCAAAAGGGCAGCGGATGTGTGAGAGACACGGAGTGGCTGGAGGCAGGCCGATGTCCAGGAGCAGGATAGCAGCATTCCTGTGGTGCTGCGCCAGAGGTAATAACTGCTCAGCAGGGCTCCTTCCTTCAGCAGAGATCTGCGGGACTGTGGCTATCGTGCTCGTGAGCCAAGCTGGTGAGCCTGTGTTGGGCTGCACCATATGGGCTTTCCAGCCCAGGTCTCCAGTAGGTTCAGGGACTCTGCTTTGTGCTCCACTGCACAAGGTAAACATGCTCTCAGATTTCCAACTGTTCAGCGGTAGCACTTCTGTATCACACTGGGATAATTTGATGACACATTTATTAATGTCCGTAAGACTGGATACACAGAAGATGACTACCATATAAGCACAGAGGCAAAAGCCTAAAGGTTCAAAGCAAGTTAGTTTGACAGCTCCTGAATTCTGCCACTACCCTACTGGGAAGAACACAGTGACTGTCCTCAGACTGGTCAGCATAACAGGTGTTACCTTTGGGTTTCACACTTAAATTTGTCTTATGTCTGGCCTGAGGATAACCTCAAGTATAAAAGTCAGGACCAAGTAAAGATGAGACTTGTAACACTGGAGTACAAAATGCCTTCTGGAATTTAATTTGGGTTTCAAATTAAAGATCACTGGAGTGAAATGTCTGAGGAAGGCTCTCCACAGGCAGGTTCATAAGCAGCATGTGTGCTACAGGCAGGAATTGTAATAGTAGACAAGCTCCTGGAAATCTTTGTATATGGTGTAGAAAACTGCTGCTTTTTACATTTAAAATTGCCACGGGAGTTAGCACATAGAAAAGGGAAAGGTGAAAGGAATAATGTCATTGTGAATGTTTAATTAATGACAATTGCCAGAAAAGCTCTTCTTTTGCCAATAACAATTGGATGTCTATGGCAGTTATTTCTCATTTTAAATACCTAATCTGATATTATATTTCAGCTCAAAGAACTAAACGAGAAAAGATGCTGTAATCTAATCATACCCAATCCAGGTGACATCTGTACTAGGCAGAATACTGTTGTTATTCTGCTGTCTAGTTGCTGTTGCTGAGAATGATGAAGTAGCAAAATTACATTTTCCCATTATTATTTCCAGACACTCTCTGGCAATGGTTTGTTGACTCTAATAAAGCTTCAGACAAAGCTGTCAGCGGAGGAAATGGCAGAAGGGGAGCAAGGAACAGCCTCCACAACAATACATGAATCTGTAGTCTCAGTGATAGGTTGTGCATTTTCTGATAAAATTTAATGTGTGTGTTTCAGAATCTATCATAAAGCTGCAGCTGAATTCTAGAGGGATAAATGTATTCTATCAAGTCACGGTGCTTAAGACTTTGACAAACATAAACATATTATGAAGGATTAAAGACTCGGAAGCCTTACCTGCTATAGTGTTGAGGAACATCAAGTATTCAAAGTTAGATATCTCCCGTCTCTGCCAGCGCTGAGTCATGTTGGAGGATTTATAAAGCTGTCGGGGAGTGGCCAGAGAGATTCTCCTAGGAAATACATTTAAAGAATTATTTTTTTAAGAGCGTCATTAAATGTTAAGATGTAGGGCAATGTTATTAGCATGATTAATTTCAGATTCTCTCAGAGGCTTTTTTATTTCCTTTAATGAAGTCAAGAAGACACTATTACCCTTATTTGAGAAATTACTAAAATTAAAATCTGTATTTAATTTTACCAGTACTACAGCACTGTAATAATTCAGAATAATATATTTGGGGCCTTATTTTATTCTGAATCTGGTTAAAAGACTAGAAGTAAAAGAAACTGCAGACCTCCTGGTGCCTCGCTTGTTCAGCAGGAATAAAAGAGGAATACCATTTCCCTGTTTCAAAAGAATACATTGAGATAAGTTCATTAAGGTGAGTGAGTGATAGATTAAAGTGCCATGTATTTCCAGCACATGGGTTGAAGATATTTATTCCACAGTCTGTGCACCTCCTCCATGGTGAGCTACCCATGATCCCTTCCTATATTGCAGTAAGCTTTGAGATTTCTATTTATAGCCTGGTTTCTCAAAGAAACAAGGTTTACTCTATTATCTGCTCACATGTCCATCTGCCTGTCTCTCCATAATAACATCTGAATTGCATTTCATTCAAATTTGGAAGAGGAGTAGAAGATTCTAAGATACTCAATTTCCACACATTTTCTAAAACTTAAATGACTGGATAAGGGAGAAAGAACCAAACTACTGTGCCAAGGAAGAAAAAAACAGAAAACTTCAGCTCTTCTATGTTGAATTTGACAACATCACAATAATCAAATGCCATGCCCCAAGTTCGAAATTACCCATTGTATATACTGCCCCTGGGTGATAAAATATAGTGGTGTAGATTCAGTCTAGACTAATGCATTAAAGAAAAAAATCTGCAACAAGCAGAAATAATCTCACTGCTCACATGTTTCTAGGGAAAATAGTCCTTGTTGAAAAAAAGAAAAGGAAAATCTTTGGAAGAACAAAAATTCATCTCCTCATATACTTTTTGTTACAGAAACTTAAATCTTATAGATGGATCAAAACAGAGAAAATGTTTGTACCTGTTAAAAAAAAAAGAGGATCTCTAATGTGTAGCCTATTAATGAATTTAAATAATGCGTCTAGTATTTATATAGCTTGTCAAGAGTAAGTAGGGACCCAAAGCTTCAACTTTCAGTGCACACTAAGCACAATAAGTGTACTATTTCTAGACTCTGAATGCAGTTATTTTCTTAAAATAAAGTTATATACAAGGTGTCAAATTACAAAATTGTGGACCATCTATTTCTAAAGATACATGTACATACTCCTACCCACGCACTAAATCCTACTTCTGGAGAATGAATGATACTGGTATGCAATTGGAGTGTACAGTTACCACAATTAAATGTCTCAATTGTCAATGTGTAGGTTGTCAATGTCTGCCATACTTAGGCTTACAAATTGGGCATACAAAAACGACCACTCAGTGTAGGTACACTTCTTTTTTTTTTAAAATCTCTGTAAAGTCTTGCCAGCTTGGTTAGCCTTATTTTACAGTAGACTCTAGGATGCCAGTGGTAAATACACTTTACTAGCATACAGGAGACATTACAAAATTTTCTTAAGTTGTTTCTATTATGCTTCTTCCAAACAATTTATCAAAAGAATTATCTGAATGTAATCATACTTTAGATTGAATTTTATAGGATAACAATTACTTTGACAGTGGAACTCTCAAAGACTGTATTGTTCTCAGTACACTATGACTAATGCTACACACAAATTAATAAATACAGAATATAAAAATACTGAAGAGATCATTAAATTTACAAAGCATTTGTCACAGACTTTCTGTTCCTTCCATGACAAAACAACATTTACGCATCAGTACAGCTTAGTAACTGCTTTTAGATTTACCTACAATCTCCCAGGGAGTCTCAAAAATCCATAAACTGTCAAGTGCTGGACTTCACATTTGAATGCCTGATTTGAGCAAACCCTACAGAAAATCAAAATATACTAAAAAAGCTCCTTATTTACTCTATATCTCAGGTGTTTGAAAGATTCATAGTTATTTCAGCAGAGGCTGGAAAAAATTATGCACAATAAATTGGTTCCACACCTGCTTGTTTCAGTTAACACAGGAAGACCCACTGTTTTGTGTTTTGCTAAATCCACCCAACTTTGATCAAATCACTTCTTTCCTTCGATATGCCATCACCAGTATGAAGATGCATAAATGAATGTGCTTCCTTTGCTTCAAGACAGCCATGAAATACCTACTCAAAATGGAATCTGCAGAAGATTCTCTGATGTATAAGGGGATAATCTAACTTTTCAAGCTTTAAATATGTTTAGAAAACATTTCATGGAGGTTATATATCCCATATGTGGAGCATGATCCACCCCCTTTCACAATTACTTTTAATTTAGTTAGCTACAATACAGTCTTTAAGTATCTTGTAAAAAAAAGTAGAAAAAAAAAAAAAAAAAAAAAAAAGACGGGAAAGTCACTGGCTTCTGCCAAAAGATTCATCAATATTCACTTTTAATCAAAGCCCTAAAAGAGGTTTTATGCTTTGATGACATCAAATCTTAGTTTTCCTACCTCCTTCCCTTCCCAAAATCCAAGCTCTGCAACCAGCTACACCAAGATCTGGAAATCCGTCATCAAGCTACTGATGTGGAATAAGTTCTAGCACTGAGCTGACATTGAATAGTTACCATACCAGCCAAAATATGCTTTCTTCCAGCAAAGCTTCGTTATTTGTATTTCTTAGCTTTAATAACTGGAGCCATTGTTTTATCTAATGCATTAATAGCCCACAGAATTTCAGTGAAAGGTGCTAGCACATGTTTAGTGGTGAAGTATGATACTGTATCTTTTACCAATTCTTTGATCTCTGTACACTTAGAAAATCATCAGGCACCTCACAGTTGGCTTCTAAGCTGTGATGTTACCCTCAACAAAGTACAGCAGTAAATTACACCTCAGGTGTTAGAACCCTAAAAAGTGGTCTGCTAATAGTATTGTAAAGATGTGGATATTACTCTGCCTATGTAGAATCATATGGAGCTGTAGAAATAAGTTAAAGCCACAGTACCGTCTGCCCAGTTGTATCATATGGCAAGGTCATAAGCAAACTACAATCAACGCAATATGTTTCAGGAACAGTGAAAATGCATTTATCAAAGACGGATTACTTTGATTACCAAATTAGACTGAACTCTTCAACGTGTGACTACTTTTAAGGATGTAATTACTTCTTTGTAACATTAAACACAGGTTTGGATGCTTTGTTGAAGCAAAGCATTAGACAGGCTATTGGGAAAGGTAGCAAAGAAGCAAACTGGAGATTTGCTCAGAACAGCAGGTCTGTAACAGTCTTGGGAAGAGATACCAGTTTGCCTGCTTCTAATGCTTTCTGCCATTGGAATATGATAAATATTGCTTTTTCCTTCTATTTCCTTCCATCTTTGTTAATCGCAGGATTTCTCTATGAAAACAGAAATGCACTTAAAATCCATGTACTGCATTAAAAGTAAATTACTTCTTCAGAATGTTTCCATCATGAATGCAATTCTTTATGATAATGTAATTAACTTCAGATGAAATGTTTATCAGAGTAGTATCCAAGAGGAAATATTACTTACAAAAATAAAACTAAAGAACTTAACCAAAACAACCAGAAAGACTTGCTTTTTCAAAAAATATTTTAAAGTACAGCTTAATCTGGAAAATGGGTCATAAAAAATGTATAGCATTTTACTTAGCATAGCAGCTCCTTTTGGTTACTCAGCATAATTTCTCCTTATGTTAATTATACAAATAAGCATATTTTTAAAAATTAGCATTCCAGAGCATATTCATAGGAAGGAAAACTATATACTCATATCAACAAAATATTAATTGCAGAGCAGTTATAAAGCCAGATTTTCCCTCAGTTACTTCACTTGCAACCCTACTGAAGACAGTAAGGGTTTGTAGACAGAAAAAAAAGGAAAAACCATGACTACAGGGTCTTTATTGTGCATAAATCATACCATGATTATGCAAAAACAAGAAAGAAAAGCGAACTTCACTACCATATGCCAGATTTATTCTGAAGGCTAGCAAGCCCATTTTCGATTCAAATTGAACTTTAATCAAAAAGGTATGGAAATAACTGTGTTTAATATTGAAGCTGAAACTTTTCCAAATAATTATATATCAACAAACTTTTTCAGACAATTATTTACTGAATAATGCACAAAAGATATGAATTTCAAAAGTAAAAAATGTCACTGTAGATATGAAATTCTGATTGAGACATTTGCATTTTGTTTGTTCTAGAACATATGGCCATTTTTATTTCAGAAAGCAATACTATTACTTTCCATTTAGAGACAGCAATTCCTTTAATTTGAGTATTTGGAAGAGCAATGCAAATATTAACAAGATGCACCTTCCAAAGAAATGCCCCAACTTCCCCTTGATCTCAGTGAAAAGTTGAGAAATTTGGCAGTTTGCCTAAGAACGTCAGCACATTCAGGAGATCAAGCCTTAGGCATCATGAGATCTTGAGCTCATGACAGGGAATGATGTTCATCTGGGAATGAAATAGTTTTCCAATCCTACAAATGCTTTGACATTTCAGAGTATTTCCACATTCTGCACTGGGATAAAACAAGGACAATATGAAGTTTTAGTTTGTAGGAAATGACTTAAAGAAAGACATATCCTAGGCATTACCCTGATAATTAAGTAACTGGCTTTTGGCCAAGTCAGGTCAAATGGAGATCTGAACCCAAAGCACCATATTTTGTGAATTTCTTGCTGTTTCTTCACTCCTTTATATTTATTTGTTGTTCCTTTAATTTTGACCAGAAATTAATCCTGTGCCTAAATATTTTTCACCAAACTTACTCTTACACTCTCAAAAACAATTTTAGGTCTAAACAACAAAAAAAAGAAGGCAGGAAATTTTCCCTCCCCCTAACTCAATGAAGTACACATGAAGATCATTTTAACCATCACTGAAATATGAATGCTTTTATAGTATAGGATCTGACAAGTTCCAGTCTTATTTCTGACCAAAGGCTGATTTGATATTGATGTTGATGAGATAATTAAAACTGTACTTGTCCATAGTATGTGAAAATATCTAAAACTGAACTTTAGTTGGTCTTTTCCAAAATATATATTCTCCTTAATTTTGGAAACCGAAGAATAATGCATTATACTAATGAATGGAAGAAATTTGGAAATTGCAACATATCTACTATACTGATGAGCAATGAAGTAAAACACACACACATTCATATAAAACGTGAGTGAGAAGATATATATGAAAAAATAATTTTCATTCAAGTCAAGTTTAGTACTATGTCCTACAAACACAGCAAGATCAATGTTTGTCTATATATTTATAAAACCTGACTGAAAAGCAGACTCTGAAGAGATAAGGTATAAGTTTTCTTCTGGTCCTTCACTGGAAGGTATTTATTTCCTGTAATTAAAAAGATTTACAATACTTTTACTTCTATCCAAAATAACAGGTTGCATAGTAAGGACAGCGTATTGTTTCTCAAACTAACCTTAAGAATGACAAAAACTACTTTCACGACAGGAATAATGTTTTAGTATGGACAGGTTTAAAAATATCATTTGTATGATATAATAAACACAAAATATAGAAACTATTTTAATTAAATTACCTGGCTTGTGGCAAACCATAGCTGGTTCCTACTCCAACACGTGGTAAACTGTACACAACTTTTTTCACTGTTGCTTGGTCAGGAAAATTAAACATAACAGAAGCTAAATGAGAAGAGAAAATATGGACTAGTAAACCACTTGCAGAAGTATGTTTCTCCACCTGCATATATTTTTAAAATGCTCTTTGTTTTTTATTTGGGAAGAGAAGTCAGTTCCACTTTTATCCTCCTGAGGATCCAAGTTAGAACAGAAACTCCCAGCATACTTCATACCTATGTATCATTAGCTGGTTAAGGGTTTGGTAATAAGTCTCCCATTTTGCAGAAGACCTGAGTAAGGTATGCTTCAGAAGAATCGCAGCTTACCATTAACCCATATAACCTTTTATCAGGCTGGGAAACTGTTTAGTAGATGGCATGGCATTCGGTCTTCTAACTGATGCATTAAAATAAAAAGGACCAGAAATTGTTTAATTCCCTCCCCAGTTTAAATCAAAACTTACATCACAACTCCTCAGGGCAAAAGACTACTGACACACCTCACCAACCATTCAACTCTGATTCAGAGTAGCACATACAGAAAACTGAGTGGATCCATTTATTGATCTGGTCCTTTTTACTTTAACTGGGTTTATAACTAGAAAAGGAAATATCCTTTTAGGTATTTTAGTAAAATATTTACATAAAATGAAGAAGAGGGGTAAGATCATAGAAAAAGCAAACTTCCTATCAAATATTTGAAGAATTTACCAATTTGAATGATCTGGTTTTATAAATAAATCTCACTGCTGCACAGAAAGCAGTGAGATTGATTTATGTGATTGATTTTAATACAAAATGCAATGAATACATGCAAAAGTAAGCATTATTGAACACAGGCATAATCACTTCACCAAAGGAAGCACAGAGTTGAAATTCTAAGATTAATAAGTAACACACAAAATAACTACTAGCACATTTTTATGCCAAAAAATAAACAAAGACATACTTCTGTTTGCCATAAACACTTCCAAAGCTGTGTTCTGGAGAAGATAACGTCTTGAAAAAACAGCCCGAATCTCACTGAACATCCATTTTCCATGAAGGCCTTCTGTATAGGCAAGGACCTTTAAATAAAGTCAAGGTGACAGTTATCAGCAGGAGTTTTTCATTAAAATATTGCATAAGAACATAGTAAACTTTACCCATCAATGAAGCATAATTAAGTTAATCGTATCTCTTTAACACTTAAAAACCGTGAGTTAAAACATGAACTTAAACGTTTTTAAAAAATGCAATGAAGTATAGCTTTTAGAAGAGTATCACTAAGTACCATAACCTGATATTCCTAAAATCTATATTTTATGAGTCACATCAACTTATTTTCCTCAAAAAAAACACAAACTCTACAAGTAAGCATAGGGTAATGGACACAGTTGCAATTATGCTTAGCTGTATTTTCTTCCAAAAGTGTGCATGACACAGCTGTCAGTTATGTATCAGATAACAGATTTACTTCTGAGGCTATGTGCGAAGTACAACCAAAATAATATCATTTGCTATTCACATCCATTTCAGGGTCATAAATTAGAACTCCCTCCATTCCATTAATAAATACAGAAATTAGCTAGAACAGTATGTCAACACAATATTTTTTCTGAAGTACATCTAATATTCCAAACCATGAACAAACTGTAAAAATTTGTATTTTTGCATTTTAAAAACAATGCCAAAATATTTTAAAATAAAATAGTTAAACATCAGCAGTGTTCTTTCAGTTTGTAAGTTTTTCAATTGAAGTTATTGGTCTAAGATGAGATGATATAAATGATCTTTTTCAGTCTTTCACTGTTCTGGATGTTCAGGAAACCAGACAAAAAGACACAATTTACTTAGGTAACAGCTTTATTAACTAATTTAATCTGTGAATTATTATTCCAGCAGTATCATGCATTGTAGAACAACCCTTTGCCAATTCTTGTCATCAGCTGGAAGGCTGCCTTCAGCCCTCCACCTCTGCTCAGGTGGGTTTTGCCCGTAGCTGAGACCCTGACACTCCATCCTATGAGTAGTTAGATGTTTGGGATGGGGACCATGTCCTCACTACACCCAACTGCATTTCTCAGGCTCTGTAGACTGTGCCTTCCCCTAGGCTGCAGTCACTAAGAGAGTTGCAGCCTCAGTGAAACAATGAAACACAATGAACACCTTCAGTAAAGGGAAATGCTAAAAGAAGATTTCAGACTGGAGAGACTGAATTTCTCTGTTTGCCATTAGGTACACAGAAGCTGTTGGTATACCAGCTTGCAGTGCTTTAGTCACTCAGTTGAGGTCTTTGCTTTCCGTAATCATGACCTCCCCCAACTTCTGAATAGGGAAATGTTAGAGAGACCATATGTTGCTGCTGTCAACGATCCTTCATGCTTGAGGTAACAGAAATTGTATTCCTTCAGTTTTTTCACTGATGTAGCTTCAAGTTAGTAACATGTCTTCATATATGAAAAGCTAATTTAAGTTTGTACACTTGGTGTTAAATGAGTTCCATGGATTTTTATTAATTTGTTCCCTGTAACTTTTTTCTCATAACCATGATAAGTCTATTTCCGAAATGACAGTAACAACTGCAACAATACAAATGTGCTTCAGCACACTGAAGAGCATTGAAATGTTAGTGCTGTCCTTGACAAAAACTGGACAGAGGAACACACTGTCTTTAATGTCTACATGAGAAGTTACAGACAAAACTTAGAGCAACACTGTGCTGATGGTACTGTTTCACTCACCTCAGCTCTCCACACTAACTGAACACAGCCTTGAATAAGGGAAGGGGCTTGATTTCTTTGAAGATCCCTCAAACACATGGAAGAGACTATACACTCCCTCCATTCAGTCACTGGCCAGCTGTGGAATTACTACTTCATATGCTAAATTCTTGAAATGGTTAAAAAATCTGCACTTTATTTTTAATTTGAACTCTGTTGACTTTAGCTCCTAGCCACTAGATCTCATGACACCTTTTTTTATATGAGATTAGAGTCTTCTAGTATCAGATAACTTTTCCTTGTGTCAGTAATTACAGACTCTGATCCAGTTACTGCTTAGATTTCTCTGTGATGAGCTAAATAAACCAAAATTTCCTTCAGTCTTTCATTGAGATCAGATGCTAGGATACAGGTGGTGTCACGCATGTGAAATTCAGATGGTTAAGAACAATAACTGTGAAGATTTCAGCACCCTTCTTCTTTGAATGTATTCTGCTGCTATCTGATATGTAATTTTTGTAAATACACAGGTCCTTAAGATACAGAGAGGAAATAAGGAAGAAAACACTCAAGTTTGAAAAGCTAAAAGATGAGAACAGTCTCCAGAGAGAGGAGTTTGAAATGTATATAGCTGTAACCAGATCTACAGCAGTCAGCAGATTTGCTAAAGAATTAGTTCCTTGACAAAACACCACGCTTCAGGAATTCACATTATGTTTCAAAAATGTTTCTAGTTATTCTACTTCTTTTTCTAAAGAAAAATGTTTAATACTAACTATAACCTCTGCAGTAACATTTTAGATGATTCACAGTAATAAATTTCCAATGTTTTGATATATACCATAGCTTAGTTATTATAGATCAACACTAAAAGCACATTGTATACCAACCACACATTGGTTGCCTCTTTCTTCCTCCTCTTCTTACTCAAGTATAAGGCAATTGAGAGTTACTTTTACCCCACTATGAAATGAATGTCTTAAGATAGCACTCCATTAAAGCAGTAGAAAGGATAGGAAATCAGCGGAAAGGAAGGAGTCTATAATTCAATTACTGTCCTCAATTACACTCTTCTTAACTGTCTATTAGTCCTACAAATATCAGATTATCATGTTGATATCAAATCATCTCAATTATTTCGGTATTTCTGTTGTATTATTTTCCTGTCCAAGATATACTACCCATTTTTGTCATCCTCCATAATATTCATCTAACACCATTTTCAACCGATGCATTAAACCTTCCGTTATTAGATATCTACAGTTCACAGCGGAAGTTACTGATGCTGTTGCAGAATTCTTCTCGTTAAAACAACCAAAACAAAGTAATTTCATTTCTCTCAGTCTGAATCCTTTAAAAGGTTTATACTTTTGTTTCTTCTTCCAGGATGATTTTTAGCATTTCACTTTTTCATATCACGTGAATGAAGCCCTGGCTATTTTGCATTTTTTACAGACTGCACGTATTGTATATTTTATTATTCATAAAAGCATGGAAATAACCACTTTGTTCACCAAAAGACACTGAAATCATGTTACCTAGTTATCTGAAGCCAAAATTTCCATGTGCTCCATCCAATACTTCATTGTTTATATTTAAAGTCAGTGCTCGTTACTTTGATAGCTTTATGAGTTTTTCTCCTAAAAACAGTCATGAAGACTTCTTGTTCTAGGCATGTCTTAATGGCTGAAACTTCATGACGAAGCATGGAATTCTAGATATGTTTCAAATAAGCTGTTTTTTATAAAATAAAAATCAACCAACAATGTCTACATGTGAACTGAGCACAGTCTTCATTTTTCATATCGGCTGCAATTGTTTGGTTTAAAGGTAATTTCTCCTTGTAAAACCCTTTCATTTACTCATGAGTATGTTTTAAAGATAGTAATGGGTCCACTGGCCAGATGATAGACCAAGAATAAAAATTTGCTAGGATACACTGCAGTAAGATGAAGCTGTCACCTTAACAGGTGAATGAGAAGTCTCAGGGTTCTGTAATATGGAAAAACGTCTATTTGAACACTTACTTTGATTAGATTAGATTAGTAAAGCAGCTTGGGATGTTCAGATGGAAAGCTCTATAGAAAAGAAACAGAACCATTACTGAAGTGCTTTCCTACTTGGCTCAGATATGAAGGCTCCATTATTTTAATTTTATTTCTGATGTAATCAAGATACCTTTTTTTTTTTTTTTTTTGAGTCAAGACATTTTTAATCATAAACCTATTTCAGTAATTATTCAATTATTGATAATTAATTAATTGTTAATTAACAGCTGGAATTTTGAAGCACTGCATTAACCAGAAGATCAGAAATATTAGTTTCTATTCTGCTAGAACCCCTGACAGATTATGTCCACAGGCAAAACACTTAAGTATTGAGGCTTATTTTTGCTGCTTTATTCCATTTCTTGGTATCTCATAGCAACAGACACAGCATGCAAAAGGATACTCCGGCCCTTTTCTTTGATTATTGCTTTTGGAAATGAAATAATTACAAAATCAGGTGCTATAAGGAAATCAAGGAAAACAGTCTGTACAAGTCCTATCTATTCTCAGTCACTAATTTTATAGTAAGAATGGTCACTTCTCCAGCCTGTTGCAAAGAATTGTTACTTGCTGCATGTATTTTGCTCAGTATGTTTTTAAAATAGCCTTTTGGTGTGACTCACCAATGCCTATGTATGTGAATTTAATCTACTAATTTTCAATGGGAATTAATCGTTTGTCTTTTAGAACCAGATTTCTGGTTCATGGTATTTTAATTCTAACCTGGTTCTTCAATGGGATACTTGCAAGATTTGTCTAGCTTTGCTTATATCTAATGCAAATGCATATATACATTAACATATAACTGTTGTTGTGTTTTATGGTGGTTTGGGGTTTTTTTAATTATTTCCAAAGCACTTATTCCCTGTTTTCTTTCATTATTCTTTATCGTTTGTACTAATAATGTCAAACAACAAGAGCAGTAAGGGACATGGTTGCCTTGCACTTATGTATAGTAAAGCTGGTTAATTTTTTGCTGCATTTCCACCGATACATTCCAAAGTTCCTATAGATTCTTTTTCACAGTCTGAAAATGATCCCCAAAGTCATGCTTCCTGAATAAAATGGCAATTTCCTGAAATAAATGCATTTCTTTTCCTTTATCAATGACCAGAAGAGCTTCCAAGAATAATGCAATTTTGCTACTCAAGATACTTTTTCATTTTACAAAGACAGTTTTATCTAGTGCTTTAGTGTATCTACTCTTATCTGTAACCTGGACACCACTATTTTAGTTAGAACATTAAAAAAAAGAGCTCTGGCTTATCCTTAATTTAGACATCAGAATTCCACTTCTTCAAATTTAATCTTCTATAT